TTGGGGGCTTCTCCCTCCCTGAAAGCTTCCTTCGCTTGTAGAGTCTCACTTGAGCCTGAGACGCACCAGAGTCACCATGCGCCCTTCTCTCCTCTCCTCCGCCTTGGGATGCCTCTGGCTGGCCATCCTTTGCACCAAAGGTGAGCGCCGTGGAGGAGCTGTGTGTGCATGTGTGTGTGTGTATTAATGTGCAGCCCAGACCTTTCCACGAGTTCTCCCTCCGCTTTTGTTGGCCAACTCCTTTTCCCTCTCCCTCTTTCTTTCTTTGCCTTTCTTTGCGCCTTTACGCACACAACTGCAGGGGTTGTCCCTCAATTGAGGTGGGGTCTTCCAGGGGGGATCTGGAGGGGAGATTTGTATCCTTGCACACACACACAACCCGAGCCATTAAACAAGGCAGTTTGGGGACTTTTTCCCAGTGCAATTTGGGGACTTTTGTCTCGGTCCAATTTGGAGACCCTTTTCTCAGTGCAGTTTGGAGAGCCTTTTCTCACTGCCCACCGCCTTGTCCAGATCTATAGGGATTTGTGTATTATGGGGAGGTGGGATTTGGTGGGATTTTTAATTTTGCAACACCCCCACCCTCCGAGCCATCAAAAAATCGAATTAGTTGAGCATTTTTTCAGTATAATTTGGGGAAACTTTTCTCACTGCAATTTGGAGACATTTCACACACAATGCAATTTGGGGAGCTTTTCTCTCTGCCCACTCCTTATCCATATCTACAGGGATTTGCTTAAGATTCCTGAATTGAGGTGGGGTCTTGGAGCATGTGTATCCTTAAGGGAGTGTGTGTTGATCTTTGCAGCTCTCACTCCAGTCACCAGACAATGCAATTGGGGGATTTTTTTTCAATGCACTTTGGGGGACTCTACACCCACAGTGCAATTTGGGGAGCTTTTCTCTCTGCACCATCCTTATCCATATCTACAGGGATTGTCTTCAGATTCCTGAATTGAGGTGGGGTCTTGGAGCATGTGGATATGTAAGGGAGTGTGTGTTGATTTTTGCAGCTCCCACTTGAACCACCATACAATGCAATTGGGGGAATTTTCACCCACTGTGCAATTTGGGGAGCTTTCCTATCTGCCCACTCCTTATCCAGATCTAAAAGGATTTGCTTGAAATTCCTGAATTGAGGTGGGGTCCTGGATCATGTGGATCCTTAAGGGAGTGTGTGTTGGATTTTTGCAGCTCCCACTTCAGCCACCAGACATTACAACTGTAGGACTTTTRCCCAATGCAGTTTGGGGACTTTTCACCCACAATGCAAATTGGGGAGCTTTTCTCTTTGCCCACTCCTTATCCATATCTYCAGGGATGGTATTCAGATTCCTGAATTGAGGTGGGGTCTTGGAACATGTGGATCCTTAGGGGACTGTGTGTTGATTTTTGCAGCTCCCACTCTTGCCACCAGACAATGCAACTGGGGGGCTTTTCACCCATAGTGCAATTTGGGGACCTTTTCTTTCTGCCCACTCCTTATCCATATCTACAGGGATTGTCTTCAGATTCCTGAATTGAGGTGGGGTCTTGGGAGCATGTGTATCCTGAAGGGACTGTGTGTTGGATTTTTGCAGCTCCCACTCTAGCTACCAGACAATGCAACTGGGGGGCTTTTCACCCACAGTGCAATTTGGGGACCTTTTCTCTCTGCCCACTCCTTATCCATATCTACAGGGATTGTCTTCAGATTCTGAATTGAGGTGGGGTCCTGGATCATGTGTATCCTGAAGGGACTGTGTGTTGACTTTTTGCAGCTACCACTCTAGCCACCAGACAATGCAACTGGGGGGCTTTTCACCCACAGTGCAATTTGGGGAGCTTTTCTCGCTGCCCACTCCTGATCCATATCTACAGGGATTTGCTTAAGATTCCTGAATTGAGGTGGGGTCCTGGATCATGTGGATCCTTAAGGGAGTGTGTGTTGACTTTTGCAGCTACCACTCGAACCACAAGACAATGCAATTGGGGGACTTTTTCCTCAATGCAGTTTGGGGACTTTGAACCCACAGTGCAATTTGGGGACACTTTTCTCTCTGCCCGCTCCCTTCGTTTGGCTAAACCTTCAGGGATTTCTTACCATTCCTGAATTTCGGTCTTTCAGGAGGAGAAATGGTTAGGATTTTCTGTCATTTTGCACCCCACCCTACCTCCCCAGCCTAGTAAACAAAGCAATTGGGGAACCTTTTCAAATTGGGTCCTTTTTTCTTCATCCCATTCTCTTCTTCCTTCTCCAAATCTATAAGATTCCTGAATTGAGGTGGGGTCTTGGAAGGTGTATTTTATATTTTCACACTCCCCCATCAATCAGAGATTTGGGGGTGTCCCTTGCCCTCCCTTCTTGCTCATCAACCTGCAGAGATTTCTTATTATTCTTGAATTGGCATGAGCGTGGAAGGTGGACAGTTGCGGAAATGGGGAGAAAATGCCTTTGTATTTTGGCACTTTTGCCTTCACATGAGGCTGTGCTATTTGGGGAGGGGGCGACCATGGCAGGAAACCCTCCAAAGGGTGGAGAACCCGTTGTCTAAATTGGGGAGGTGAGCTTTGTTTAAGGAGGAGAGGTTGAGAGGGGCAGTGCCTACAATTTTGCAGTGGAGTAGCATCCAGTTGCCTCCTCCTTCTTTTTTTTTGCAACACTACACACCCACTTTTCCCTCCCCTCCCCTTTCAAGCTACTACTACAGCGTGTAGCAGCTACTGGAAAGGCATTGCAACTGGTGGAAAAGGGAAAAATATAGGCGGGAGGCTGAGTTTTGTGCAAAATGGGCAGACTGTATTGCGGGAGGGTGGGCCAGACTTATGAAAATATGGAAATCTTGAAGAGCCTTACTTTTGCAAAACGATTTCCACACCCCTGCCTCCTTTCTCCCATCTTTTGGGTTATTGTCTGAAACATTGGCGGCATCAGACTGTCTCAGTCCTGCGGGTGATAATTTTGGTTGTGAAAAGGATATGTGTGTGTATGTATGTGTGTATTGTGGGTGATACTCTAAGAAAGGGGCACCCACAACTTACAGGCACCTGTGATTACTATTTTTAGGAATGAGGAGGGCATCAAAAATAGGGTGTGTCAGTGTGTTTTGAAGACATATGAAAAGGCACATTTATCGTGGGTTGCTTTTGAACCCTTCTAAGCAAAGACTGGGAACCCCGCTATCCCACCCTTCAAAAGACGCTGCAGAAAGCAATGGATGATCCAGCCAGAGTAGACCCATTGACCCAAAGGGATTTGCACAAGTGTCAGGTAAAGGTTTCCCCTTGACATTAAGTCTAGTCGAGTCCTACTCTGGGGAGGGTTACTCATCTAAGCCAAAGTGCCGGCATTGTCCATAGACACCTCCAAGGTCATGTGGTTGGCATGACTGCATGGAGTGCCGTTACCTTCTAGCTGAAGCAGTACCTATAGATCTACTCACATTTGCATGGAGCCCCCGATGGCGCAGTGGGTTAAACCTCTGTGCCGGCAGGACTGAAGACCGACAGGTCGCAGGTTCGAATCCGGGGAGAGGAGGATGAGCTCCCTCTATCAGCTCCAGCTCCTCATGAGGGGACATGAGAGAAGCCTCCCACAAGGATGATTAAAAAATCTAATCATCCAGGCGTCCCCTGGGCAACGTCTGTGCAGACGGCCAATTCTCTCACAACAGGATGCTCCTGACACGACAAAAAAAATAATCAAAATTTTTAGTATTGCTAGGTTGTCAGCAGCTGAGGCTAACAGCGGGAACTCACCCTGCTCCCCGGATTCAAACTGATGACCTTTCAATCAGCAAGTTCAGCAGCTCAGTGGTATAACTCGCTGAACCACAGTATCCCACCCTTAAAAAGACATGGCAGAAAACAATTGCTGATCCACCCGTTGACCCAAAAGGATTTGCACAAGTGTCAAATAATTGATGTATTTATATCTAATAATATTTTGATGAAGCCCCTGGCGGTGCAGCGGGTTGAAACATTGAGCTGCTGAACTTGCTGACCAAAAGGTCGGTGGTTTGAATCTGGGGGGCGAGGTGAGCTCCCACTGTTAGCCCCAGCTTCTGCCAACCTAGCAGTTTGAAAACATGTAAATAAGAGTAGATCAATAGGTAGTGCTTATAGGTACTGTATTTATATCTCATAATATTTTGATGGGGCCCCTGGCGGTGCAGTGGGTTAAACCGTTGAGCTGCTGAACTTGCTGACCGAAAGGTCAGGGGTTTGAATCTGGAGAGCGGGGTGAGCTCCCACTGTTAGCCCCAGCTTCTGCCAACCTAGCAGTTCGAAAACATGTAAATAAGAGTAGATCAATAGGTACTGCTTATAGGTACTGTATTTATATCTCATAATATTTTGATGGGGCCCCTGGCGGTGCAGCGGGTTAAACCATTGAGCTGCTGAACTTGCTCACGAAAAGCTTGGTGTTTTCAATCCTGGGAGCGGGGTGAGCTCCCACTGTTAGCCCCAGCTTCTGCCAACCTAGCAGTTCGAAAACATGTAAATGTGAGTAGATCAGTAGGTACTGCTCTGGCGGGAAGGTAATGGTGCTCATTGCAGTCATGCCGGCCACATGACCTTGGAGGTGTCTATGGACAACGCCGGCTCTTCACTTAGAAATGGAGATGAGCACCAAACCCCAGAGTTGACATGACTAGATACTTAATGTCAGGGGAAAACCTTTACCTTATCCCATGTATTTTTTCCTTCCC